ACTATTAAGATATGGTTTGTATTTCTCACTATATTTGATTATGTATGTTACTTAACATGATTTGGTTTTCCTCTATGATTAGTTTTTTCTTTACTGTACTACCTCCTGCTGTTAGTTTTCATTGTTATTTTTCATTTCCTCTTGCTGTAATGTTTTGCCAAGGATGTTTTGAAGAGCTGGTTTTCTAGCTGCAAATTCTTTTAACTTTTGTTTATCGAGGAAGATTTTTATTTCATCTTCAATCCTGAGGCTTAATTTCGCTGGATACATGATTCTTGGTTGGAACGCTTTTTCTTTCAGCATTTGAAATATGTTGTTCCAGGATCTTCTAGCTTTCACAGTCTGTGTTGAAAGATCAGCAGTTATCTTGATTGGTTTACCCCTAAATGTAATTTGCTTCCTCTCTCGTGTGGCTTTTAAGATTCTCTCCTTATTATGTATTGGACATCTTCATTGTTATGTGTCTTGGTGCGGATCTCTTATGATTTTGTACATTCGGTGTCCTGTAGGCGTCTAGTATTTGGATTTCTTTTTCATTCTTTAAGTCTGGGAAGTTTTCTAGTATTATTTGATTGAATAGATTGCTCATTCCCTTTTTTTGGACCTCTATACCCTCTTGTATCCCAATAACTCTTAGGTTTGGTTTCTTTATGCTATCGCATAATTCTTGGATGTTCTGCTCATGATTTCTTAATATTCTCGCTGAGCTGTCTATGTTCTTTTCAAGTTGAAAAGCTTTGTCTTCGTTGTCTGAAGTTCTATCTTCTAATTGTTCTACTCTGCTGGTAATACTCTCATTTGAGTTTTTAATTTGGTTTATTGTTTCCTGCATTTCCAGGATTTCTGTTTGTTTGTTTTTTATATCCTCTATCTTCCTATAGAGTTGATCTTTTGCTTCTTGGATTTGTTTATGTAATTCATTGTCAAAGTGATCTTTCATTGTCTGAATTTGCTGTATAATGTCTTCCTTGAGACTCCAGATCATCTGAAGCATGTATATCCTGAACTCTKTRTCTGAYATTCCATCARYTGCAGATATTACCTCATCTAATRTTGAATTRWCCTGYATTGTTTGTGGTCCTTTYTTTCCTTGTCTTTTCATACTGCTCATGATTCTTTCTAKCTTTGTGAAACTGTTGTGTTAATGTTTTTCCCCTTATATATTTGCATTGTTCTTGTATAGCTCCAAAATCCCTCTTTTGCGGAGAAAGACAATGTTAACAGTTCCCAATATCAACAGTACATCATCTAAGCTCAAGTTTTCATTATTAATACATTTATAGTTAGATTCTAAGTCTATAGATATTGGTTTTAATTATTACTTAAGAATATATTCATTAGTTTCATAAAAGGCATACCATTTCTGGTAGCATATAGAAAACTTAATTTCAGACCAAGGATGTTATACTTAGAGGGAAAGGAGTGAGGGTATGAGGTTAAGCTAACTTAGCACCTTTGGAGAACTCTAACCAATAGACTGGTAATTTATGGAAGAATGTATAGAYTCAACCTCCTATCTGTATTTAGATAGTTACCCTATGTATGGATAGCAAAAGTTAGGAGATTGAAAGTTGGATAGAGAGAATACAAATGAAAAAAAAATAACAAAAAATAACAAGGAAGAAAAGAGAAATAAGAGAGAAGGAAAAGGAAAGAAAGATAGAAATAAAGAAAAAAAAATGGAGGGAAGGTGGGGTATATGCAATTCCTCTATATTATATTACTTTGGTAATTCGGTTGTTCATGCACAGCTCTTGATTTCACATATGTTGAAGTTGTGGAAGAGAGAAGAAAAGAGAGAAAGAGGAAAAAAAAAAAAAAGTCTCTCAGAACACTGTTTTCCTTGCTTCCAGTAGGTGGCGTTGTCTATTCCTAGCTTGAGCCTCTGTATTCAGGGTGGTGGGTATAGCCAGTGTGAAAGGAAATGAGCTTCCACCTGTATCTTACCTACTCTAGTCTCTGAGGTAGAAACCAAGTGCCTGTACAGTTGTTGTTTTGCGTTGATAGCTACAACCCCCAAAAGCTTGTGGGACACATTTTGAGTTATCCCAGCTAAGGCTGGGGGAGTTGGAAATCAGGTACCTGGATCAGCGGCAGAACCGTGCTGGTAGCCACACCCCCTTTGATGGGTTTTAAGGGTAAATGGGCTTCCTCCGGACTAGCACATGGGGCGGGGCCGGGCTTCCTCCTCCACTCTGGTTTGGCTGGCACCGGGCTGCTTCCTCCTCCAGTCTCTATGCATATACTTTTTACAATATAAATTTGGCTGCTCTATAGAAAATGGGATGGAGGGGGAGATAAGTGAAGTTGGGAGACCTAGAGGTAGGATATTGGCAAGGAGTAGGATGGTTATGTTAGAGAGGGGGTGTGCAAAATTTATGGTCAGAGAAAAGTATAGTTTCTGGTTTGGTTTTGCTTTTGTGCTTCAGTTAAAACTTCATAGCTTGTTTGACTTCCAGTTAGCCTTTTAATTCTTTCTTGAAATAATTTGGCAAGATATATTAGCTTCAGGGTATTACCGTAAATTTTATTTTATTTTATTTTATTTTTTTGGTCAGATTAATTAGAGCAGTATTGTTTTGTTCATATAAGAAATACATCTTTATTTTTAAATGTGAGAAATGACAGCTTATATATAATAATTAAATGAAAGCATCAGTAATACGTTTTTGAATAGCCCATGTGTTTTTACTAGAATTGGTGCCATGTGATGGATGGAATATTTTTTAAAAAGTGGAAGAAACAGGGCTGGAATTGTGGCTTAGCGGTAGAGCGCTCGCCTAGCACAGGCAGGACCTGGGTTCGATCCTCAGCACCACATAAACATAAAGGCATTGTGTTGTGTCCATCTACACCTAAATTAATTAATTAATTAATTAAAAGTGGAAGAAACTTTATGAGCATAATTTAAGAATAATTGCTATTAAGAGTTTCAATAAAAAGCAATGTTATAGAAGGAAATGTAGCTATTACATAATTAAATGAGCTTTTAGTCAGTCACATGACATTTCTTGCATATTTATTATACGTCATAATTTAGTACTTCACAGTTTTCAAAATATTTTCTAATTTTGTTAGACAAATATTATTAGAAATATTTAGTGTATATTCTTTATTAATGGGAAACTGTGTACTATTGTTGTTCTAACTAATACAAAGAAGTTCCTTTGAGTTGAGATTTTTGGATTTTCATGTAGTCTTGGAAGAAAGTCAAGTAGTGGAAAATAGTGATGTTGAGTAGAGATATAGAATATTGTTTTTCCTTTTTCCTACTCTCATTATGTTTCTGTATTAAAATAGAAATTAATGCTTAATATTTAAAATAATTTGAATATATTTGCATTTCTTGATGATTTTGTTCATTTTAAATGTTGTTATGTCCTCTATAATGAATCAAGATGGGATTATCTAAAGGCTTCTAAAATTGGTATATTTTGTTTGAAAAAAATTCAGTAAATTAAATAAATAATAGTGCATCATGATATAGAACAGATATAACTTGGAACAGTATATATTCTGTTTTCTTTCATTTAATTTCTTTAATTCTTAAATTTGTTAGAATGAGCCTTATATGGATTAAATGAGCTAATGGACTGTGCTCAATAAATTCTATTTCTATAAAATTTTGAAGTATCGATGACTGAGTATTTATTTAAAGATTTTTGAAAGGTACTCACATAGATTTTGACTTTTTTTTTTTTAAACGGGGGGAAAAGGACTCTAGAAACAACTGCTAGTTAAAGTTTTTTAGATTTTTATTTTGATGCTGAATATTATTACCAAGTTTATTTATATGTCTATATGTGTGGCTCTTCAAATAATGTTAATCTTCCGTCAAAGATAATACTAAAATAGTTTTTAGTGTTAATTTGTTTTGCTGTTCATGTATTTAGAATTTATTTTTTCTGTTCATGTATGCAATAAATCATATTTGTGATTTAAAAATAGTATATGAATATTAATAACAATGTTTTTAATTGAAAATACCCCTCCGTTTTTCCCTTAATCCCATTATCACTCTTTAAAGCTTCCTTTCAAAAAGTGACTGTAATCAAGTCAACTTTTTCACTAGAACTTTATTATCCTTGTGTTGGTAATTATGATAATGAATTATTTTGTACTCCTCTGGTTTCTCACAGTACCCAACATCTCCATGAATATGCTTCTTGTCTTTTATCTACTTGATATGTTCCTGAAATGGGGAAGTTATTTTACTACTACTTTCAGAAAAAAACAACTTTGAAAAAAATGCTTATTTAAAAATATTCTATCCAGAGAGAGATGTAATTGTATTATATTATCTTTTTAAAAAAACCTCTCACTGGTGTGCTGAATTAGCAGTGTCTTGAGTTCCGTTGTTTTGAGATTAAAGTACTAGATTACTTTATAAAATGAGTCATAACTTATTTTACAAGTATTTKAAAGGCTTTTATGTAGTACTTTACTTAATTCTTTTAAGTCCCTCATTTTTCTGTGATGAGTTATTTCTAGTGGTTATGTTTTTAAGTTCTAGGTTATGCAAATAGAAATAAGATCAGAGGCAAGAGTTTGGATTATATAACTGAAAGAAAGAATATGGAGAATTCAGACAGGTTCAAAAGAAACCAAGAAATTTTTGTAACACTCTTTTAAAAGCAAACAAAAATATTATGTATCCCTTATGTGTTCTTGTGTCTGGGTTGAGAAATTGTGTGATATACTGTGGTCAAACTCATTTCAGATTTAACTGGAAAAAAATAATTTCTTTTCATATTTTAATGAAGTAGATAGTATTTTTAAGCTTTGACACATAAAATAATTCAAATAATATCGTTAGAAGACTTAATGAAGTAAATTTGATATACTTTGGGTCTTGTAAAATGGGGACCAAATGAAAAATAATTAAAATTTCAGTATAAATTTGAAGTCTGTGATAATAATGTGTATCAGTCATTAAAATGAACTCACTTTTTTTTGGTAAAGCATTTATATATTGCTTTTATATAATTGTTTTCTAAAAGGTCAAAAGAAATAGACTGGCAACCTTATTTTACTACACGCATTGTAGATGATTTTGGCACACACCTAAGAGTATTCAGAAAGGCTCAACAGAGAATAACAGAGAAAGACGATCAAGTAAAAGGTAATGTCTTTGTTCCATTTGAAAATTAGGATTTAAAACTCTGTTTTCTTTTTCATCTTCTAAATTTTATATTGTTTCTTCCCTTCTTCCAGGCACAGCAGAAGATCTTATAGATACCTTCTTCGAAGTTGAAGTTGAAATGGAGAAGGAAGTTTGCCGTGACCTAGTGTGCACTTCTCCCAAAGATGAAGAAGGTTTTCCTTTTAATATAATTCTTTTAAGTACAGTAACTGTTTAAAGACAAATTATCAGAACAAATTTAAGGGTAAAATTATTTGTACACAGGTAGAATAGTGAAGACACTGTTCATTTTAACTCTACAAGTTGTTTCTACATTCTTTTTTCATCCATTTAAAAATTCATGTGTTGTCTTTTTTAAATATAACAGCACAAACTTTTAAAATTAAATGTTTTATTTTATGAGCTATAGTAAGATTATTATCTGTTACCCTAAAATATTTTCTAAGGAAATCATTATAAATCATTATAAACAAAATCATTATAAATGAAATCATTATAAATGATTTCAGATGATATTTATAAATTCAAGTGAACATGCCTTTTCTTTCTGACAGATTAGTCCAGAGACGTTTTAGTTCATTTTTTGAATTTTACAATTAAATATTTGCTAATTAGCACATTAAAAAATTAACAATATTGTCCATTTAATTTTATTCCCAGGAAGTGTCAGATAGGAACAACCATAGGGAATAAAGATGTAATTTGTTTTTCTTAATAAATAATAAATTATTTTCTTAGATTTTTGAAAACGTGCTAATYTTTTTTTCCCTTTGCCTTTCTTTTCTTCTTTCCCCCTTTTTCTTCTTCCCTTTTTACATGTATTATATAATTTAGCTTTTACTTGCCAGTTCATTCACACTATTATGAAATAATAGCTAAATCTTAGAAGTAGTAATGACATACAATATTTTACGTAAGTTGAGCTCACTTAAATCAGAATAGAAGAACGTGTTCTGCATCTCTTTTGGAGAAAAATTTAATAATTCAAGTTTCTTGTGTGATTCAGTAAACTGTCTAAAACTGAACAGAATTAGAGAAATTTTAATTTGGTTACTAAATAGTGTTTGAAGAACAGTGAAGTAAATTTTAATAAATGCTGATGTGTACTTATTACTAAAAGAGTAAGTCAGTACAGCTAGGGAATGCTTATTTCTACCTTTTTTGTGTGTCTTATATTAAGAGCAGTTGGAGATTTTAGGTTTTCTAATGTTATTATAGCTACCTTTTCTATTTTTAGGATTCCTAAGAGATTTGTGTGAGGTCTTATTATATTTATTGCTACCTCCTGGAGATTTCCAGAACAAGATCATGCGATACTTTGTCAGGGTAAGCGTAAACTCATACCAAATAATGAATGTAAAGAAACTTAGAACACTAGTTCTCAAAATTTTTGGTCTCAAGACCCAGTTAAATTCTTAAACATTATTGAAGACCCAGAAAAGGTTTTGACTCAGATTCCCTGATAGGCTCTTGGGGACCTTTTCCCAATTCCCCCGAAGTCCCTGTCCAATGCTTTATTAACTTCCTAAGTTAGGTGCTTGGATTTTGGGTTATAACAAGGGTAAATTCTTAAAAATTTTCAGTACTCTTTAGCTTTACCTAGGGTAGACAAGATAAAAAGAACATTTCTGGACAGAAACTTCAAATAGAACTGAGCAGCTAAAATTTTAATTTTCATTAAAGATGAGAACAGTAGGGATTCTATTCCTGTAATGAAAGTCTTTGGAGTAAAACTCTTGTGTGTAAGCATAAAGGAATAACATTTAGCTTTGTCTTCTGGTTATGATTAAGAAATGCTACTTACTTAAGACCTTATCCTGGTTGCATGGGTAAAATTAAAATATTGAATTTTCCTGAAAATCATAATCTTGTTAGTCTTTCCTCCTGTGAATTGGATTGGATTGGATTGGACTGGATACCAATTTCTAAAGCATGTTTTAAAAATACATGTATGTTATTGCAATCCCAGTTTCCTCATATCATCTAGCTCGAATTCATTGTACTTGTCAGGTATTTTAAAGATATTTAATGTGAAGTGAGTAGAAACTACTAAGTTTTGATGGAACAGTGTGATAGATTAACTATATATGGTAAGGCCAATTTTGGGGAGCAGTCATATCAAAGGTGGTAAATACTTGGCATGTCTATTACTAGATTCACATCTACATGTCTGAACTTCTCTTCTACTTAAATTTAATTAAATGTTAAAGTTCTCTAGTCCTAGGCCCTCTTTTGCTTATTTATTCTTTGGCTTTAAATGCCATCCATATGCTAATTAGTTAAATTTATATCTTAAGACTTCCCTTTTGAGTTCCAGGGTACTCTGACATGCTGTCCATTTAAAATCTCTCCTGGAGTAACTCAGACCTTTTAAACTTACATGTCCAAAATGGAAATGATTCTTGTCTCTATATCCTTTTTGCCATTTAGTCTTTTTTTATGTCCCAATAAGTGCTATGACCATCCATCAATTTTTCCAAATCCTGAGTCTTTCTAGAGGATTATAAGGCCTGTGTGATAACATTTGTTTATTCTCTAGCCTCCATGCTGTGCAATGTCAGAGAAAACAAGAATTGGGCAGTAAATTGTGGTAAAAATGGATGTTATTCAGGAACTATCGGAATAGAGGAAGAAAGGCTTTCATATAAAACTGGACTCAATTCTGAATAACACAAATAGGGATTTGTATCCCAGGGGCAGAATGGGGATAAGTGGATGGAAAGTTACTAAGAGATGTAGAGTAGTATGGGCAGGAGACTGTGTTTAAAAGGACTTAATAGGATTCTTGCTAAAGGTAGATCAGGATGGTGAAATATCAAGAGCAGGGATGAAGAATTTGATCAGCTATGAAGGGTGGGAGAGTTCTGGCTAAATGTATGTGACAGGATTCTTGCTAAAACTGTGATACAGTAATGAATAAAAATGGAAGGCCAAAGGTTGAGGCCTAATTTGGTAGAAGGTTCAGAGGAGCCTTCCAAAATTTGGTCAAGGATAATATCTTTGTCAGTAGTTGTTACATTCCAGCCGCATTGGCTTTCTTCCCCAAAAGGCCTCTTTCCTCTCCAGTTATAAAGCTATTGCATATGATTTTTTCCCTTTGCTCAGATTGATTATTGTTAGTCTCTTAGCTAAGTAGTATTTATCTTTTTATATCTCACTTAATGTCATTTCCTCAGAGAAGCCTCCCTGACCACCCAATCTTAAACTCTCTTATAATTCCTTATTACTGTTGGCTGTACATAGTTCTTTTTCATCATTGGATTTATCATGTTTTAAAGTAATAATTCATTTGTTGTGTTTACTTAATTGACATCTTTTTCTCAAATGAATTATAAATTCCTTTAGGACAGGGACCTTATCTGTATGTATCATCATTGTATACCTAGTGGTTAACACTGTACATGGTATGTAACAGGCATTAAATCAGAGAAATCAGTTATAATGCAACAGGAAACCCTGCCCTCTTGATGGCTGTGGTGCAAGTGCTACTGCAGATTCCTGAGAAATAAACTGACACCTAAGGACTATGAATGAAGATCTGCCCTGTTACATGAGGTTATTGTTAAAAATAAGTAGGATTGTAATGAGCAAATGTGTTTCACTAAGGATTCCTCTTTTAGTCAATACTTCATTTCTTTGTGCTTGAATCTGATTAAGGATAATTATAAGGCCCTGCATTCAGCAATTCACTTTTTCTTTTCTCATGATAGTCCTTATCAGTTTTCTTTTGTCAGTAATTTTGTCAATGATCACTATACTCCAAGTTTTCCCAAATTTGAGTTTTCCGAAAAGACATTTTTGTTTAGATGAAACTTCTTTCCTTTAAATTGGTCTTTTGCATAGATTGTACAACACAGTATTTGACTGAAGTAATTGCTTTTTAATTGCTTCTACATTCTTTCTATTACTCCCTTTTCTTCATTTAAAGATTCATGGTTTCAGTGATTTTGTATCTTTCAGGCCTCCATAAGTGACAGCTGATACTATCTTCTAGAATTTGTGGGTCTTAAAATAAGAAGTATGTGGAAATGGCTATTTGCTTTGAAATATTTAGAGCTCTCACAAGGACCTGTAGAGGAATTATTGGGTCATATAATTAGCCCCTGAATAGCCAGACCATTTTATGATGCAAATTCAGATACCAAAGTAGTTTTCTAAGATTAACTAATTGCTTTATCTAGTAAATACAAAACTTACTAAAAATTCTTTCCAATGTGTTTTTCCTCATTTTAAAAAGAAACTTTGGAAAAACATTTGTGTGTGTGTGTGTGTAAATTTTCTTCTTACAAAGTACATTTTTAAATTTGAACATTTTTAGCCAGAGATATAATTAGATGGAAGAAATTAAATAAGCAAGTATAATTTTTAAGAAGTTAGGGGCTAAAGCTAATCTTGAAAGGAGCAATTCCTTGAAATTTGGCACCGTAAAGTATCTTGAGACATTTCTAAAAATAATTGGAACATATATTAGTGCCTATGAGATATTAATTCATCACAGGGTAATAGTTATCAGAGACCTACACAATTTACAAAAGTAGATTCACATAAAATATTTCTTTAAGGAAAAATAAAGACCACCTTCTGTGAACATATGTAATAAAATATTTCTTTAAGGAAAAATAAAGACCACCTTCTGTGAACATATGTAAAAAATGGTCCAGATACATTAGCAATCCAGTAAAAAGAAATAAATTACTCTTTTACTTTGAAAAGTTAAATATCTTCTTAAATTTGTTGTTATTTAGCCCCCTCCAATAGTCTCAAGAAATGATTTTTATAAATTTAGATATCATAGGCATTAATGGATGAAGGTTACTGCTAGGTGAAAATGGAATCAGTTCTAAATTCTTAGTTTCTTAGGTTTTTATTTCTACTCATTTATCAAATGCCTGCAATGACCTTAARAAGACTGGAGAGATGGTAAATATTTTCAAAGATAGATAAGTCAGTAGTTTAACCAATTCTACTCACATACAGAGGATTCCTATATAGTAGTAATTTATTAGAGAAATGTAAGGTACTCAAAAACAGAAAATATAAAGTGATACATCCTACAAATACTGGGTGGCTGTGTGTTTTAAGTATGTAAAAAAGTGTTCAGCTGAAATGGTTAGGGTTTATTTTACAGTATAATTGATTGTTCAGTAAGGCTTTAAAGGAAAGGCAGAATTTAAATAGGTTAGAACATAATTATTGCAGTTGCTTGGTTTTTCTCCCTTGAAGTAAAAAACTTGATTCTAAAATTAGTGTACATCTTTTCATTCTGTTTTATATTTTTAATATAGATGTATGAATCCACAAAAACTTTTTTCCTCATGTTTTGTCTTTTAAAAAGTGACATAAATACTAATGTACCAGATGTATCTTTTTGTTTTCTTAATTCACCGTTAGTGTCATTGTGGAGATGTGAACTTGATAGGTAGCTTTGTCTTATTTATTTTAATGAGGTTGTGGGATATCACCATTTATAACATTTCATTATTATGTTTTTCACATGTGTATGTGTATCAAGTGTATCATACCTAGTTTATGTAACAGCACTGTGTCAGGAAATTTACATTATGCCTTTGAGAAATATACATTAAATTTGGTTTTAATTTTTTTTTTTTTTTTAGGAAATCCTTGCACGAGGAATTCTTCTTCCATTAATAAATCAACTCAGTGATCCTGATTATATTAATCAGTATGTCATATGGATGGTAAGTACCTTTTAAAATTGCTGCTCTGTTTTGGAAACAATTTTTTAAATGTAAAATACTATTTGGAGATGAGGGTGATTAAGAAATAATTTATTGAAGGAATTAAAAATGTTTCTAAAGTAATTTCTGTATTTGTTATTTTATATTTTTTGTTAAATGTGTTGGTCATTTTCTTTTTAAGAAGCTTATTGATTATTTTGCTTGATACTATGGTGTTGCTACTGCTTATTTAAAAATGGAATCTTTTAAACTGCCTATGTATACAAATAATGAGTATTTTTAACAGCTACTTCAGGTGGAGCATCCCTTGTCTAAAATACTTGGGACTGAAAATGCTTCAGAGTTTAGAATATTTTGGTATTTATAATAAAATATCTTGGGAATAGGACCCAAGTCTAAACATGAAATTCATTTGTTTCACGAACACGTTATACGTAGTTTGAAGGTCATTTTATGCAATATTCTTAGCATGCCTGTCTTGTGACTGTGAACTGTCACATGAAGTTAGATGTGAAATTTTCTACTTGTGGCATAATGTCAGTACTCAGAATGTTTAGGATTTTGAATTTTTGGATTAGGGATACTAAACGTATATTTGGTTTTAAATACAACTCAATGTCTGAACTACTTAAATAGTGTGTGCTTCACATTTTATACCATATAATGGAAAATATGAATGATAGAACACTAGAATGAGAATCAGAATATTTGTATTTTAGGTCTGTTTTCCTAAGTTGCTTCATGTGCTTGTAAGTGGATAACTCAAGATTTTTCTGCTCTTTCAAGAATACCAAATAGGAATTATTCTGTTTAAGAGTTCGATTTTTTTTTTCTTTTCTGATTGTATTTTCTGTTCCTCAGTAACGTCATAGCAAGGAAGAGTTGTAAATGGGCTACCTGCTGGGAATGCCTTTGTTATTACTTTTAGATCTTTGATTCATTACTTGAACCCAGGATTTCTTCTCTACATTCATCTCCTTTTAACCCCATCTATTATTCTTAGGAAAGAATCACTGATTATTCTTTGATTTCCTTTGACATTGTCAAACTTGCCAGCCATTGCTTTATTATTGTTGTTGCCACCATATTTGTCTCTCTCACCAGACTATGGGTTACCTGCAAAGAAAAGAAGAATTTTATTTTGTATTCCTAGCATTTTTTTTTTCTGGAAGTGATAAAAGTTGATTTTCTTTTTAGTTGTCAACTATTTATTATTAGGTTCTACCAGAAACTTTAAATATGTGCATTTCTATATAGTTAAAATTTTAAGATGTATTTCCTTTGGTATTCTACCTAAGAGCTTATTCCAAAGTGAAAGTTAAGTCTGCAGGAATCTATATTCAAAGCCATTCATAGCAACGTTGCATATAGTCATAAAAATTTGGAAGCAACTTAAATATCCCAAACAAGGGATTAAATTAATAAATTATTTCATATCAATATAATCAAGTATTGTGCAGCCATTAAAATGATAGAATTCGGTCTTTATGAACATGAAAAATACTAATGATATCTTTTATGTGAAACAGTTAACTGAAGATGATCTCTTTTGCTGAGCATGTATTAACTCTGTAGTTCATTATATGGCAAAAACATTTTGTGAAGGTTTTAGCACATACTCCAAAAATATTTCAAATTACTACATTTTTACTTGTTCTCCTATGATTGGCCTATGTATGAYATGTACTGTTGTATGATACTTTGGGTTTTGTGTGATTTAATAGACAAGGGAACACAGTCACTGTTGTACTTTTCAGTAGATTATCAGAAAATATATTTAAAAGAGAAGAATTTATCAAGAAGGGATCTTTAGCCTCCTTTCTTGTCTTTTTTACACTCTTGACATTTATGTGAAAAGCTTTTTAGGCATAGGTATTATAAATATAAATGTTAACTGAGCTCTTATTTATTCAACTGCATTTTGATGTTAGTGTGATCTAATTGAATAGTTCATTCTTATTTGAAAGTAACATCTTAGAACTATATTAACATTATCTTATGTATGTAAAGTACTAGAGTCAGAGAAAATGGTTGGGAATGATTTTAAAGTAATTTTTAAAAACAATATGGCCAGATTTGCATTATTTTTATCTTAATATATGTATATTTTATAAAGACAAAAAAGTTAGGTCTTGTCTCTGTCTGGAAGTGATCAAACTTAATTTGCTAATATTGATAACTGTAACTAGACAAGAAAAATGAAAGACACTTGTATTTTAAATGTATTCAAGTTTAATGTTCTTTTATTTTATTCTTCAAATATTCCTTTTCTTTTATCAATGAAGTAAAAGTTGTATAAAGTGAAATGTTTGGGTCTTAATCTACATATTAATGAATTTTGATAAATATATACAGTCATGTAGGTATCATGAATCATAAAACAAACTTTCCATAATCCCCAAAAGTTCTTTTTTTCTGACTTCTAGCAAGTCTATCCCCTCTTTCCCCCAGACATAACCCCTCCATTCTCCATCACCATTGATTAGTTATTCCTGTTCGTGAAGTTTATATAAATGGAATCATGCAGTCTCTACTCCTTCGTATCTGGCTTCTTATGCTTAACACACCATTATTTTGAAAATTTCCTTGCATTCATTTTTTTAAGTGCTCAAGAGTATTCCATTTTATGAATATACTATAAATTTCCTTTTGAGTAAATCATTAGGAGTGGAGTTACGGGAACGTAGGGATTATGTTTAACTTTATAAGAAATTGCCAATGGGGTTGATATCAGCAGGATGATAGAATAGGAAACCCCAGATCTTATTTCTCCACAAAAGTACCACTTAACAAAATAAAAGGGTCCATACAACCTTTCTGAGAACTTCAGAAACCAACTAGGAAGTCTAAATACCCCAGGTGAGCTTGAAGCTAAGAGTAGCTGCACTGAAAAAAGTAAGTAAAGCTATTTCATTTCAGCTGTGTCAGCTCATCCCCAAACATGGCATAGTTAGTGATCAGAAAGAAAAACCCAACTTGCAGCTTTTCCACTGGGAGGGAAAGGAAAGAATGGAACATATGACCAATATTCTGGCCTTTYAGGGGCTTTTCAAAGAATGTGTTTCTTTCCCTCCTGACTTGGAGTGCTGTTGGGGAGCTAGTATATTTTGATGCCTATGGTCATAGAGAACAGAAGATAGGTTAATAACTTGTGATAGGGCCAGAGGACTTGCAGTATAGCAGACAGTGACAGAACTCATGTAATTATTAAGTGCCAGGCTCCTGAGACTTCTGTGAGAAGGAAAGAAAAGACTACAACATGTGTCTCAGTACTCTGGATTTCAGGATAATTCCTGAGGTGCTGATATCTTTCTCATTTTAATTGGAGCACTGTTGAAACTAGCATATCTTGGATGCCTGGGGGCTGCCAAGGACACAGGAAGGCTTATCAGGTTGTTGCAGCATGAGAGAATTTTTACTGAAGTAAACAAGGCACTAGAAGGAGCAAAGATTATAAACTCCTGGAAAAGAAACTGAGAAATTAAGTTGGAAATTACACATAGAAGCCCAGAAGTTTGAGAGGTTCCCAGAATCTTAGCTGGACTGATTAATGAAGTTCTTCCTCTGTGTGAAGACAGTCTGTAAAATCTAGATGGAGGTATCTGTTTTTTTAAATGTAAAAATCAAAACAAAAAGTAAGGAACACATAAAGAAACAGGGAAACACGGATAAAATAAAATAGCCAAATAAATATCCAGGACTTGAACCCTAAAGAAACAAGAGATCTATGCATGACCTAACAAAGATTAGAAATATCATCTTAAAGAAACTGGTTGTGCTATGATACAGCATAGATATACAATAACAAATTGAAAAGTGATGAATAAATAAAAATGAGACTATCAACAAAGAAATATAAACAATAAATAACAAAAATAATAGAGCTGAAAAAATACAATGATTAAATGAAAAAATTCACTAGGAGAGGTCAATAACAAACTTGATTAAGTAGAATGAATCCATGAACTTGAAGACACATTATGTGAAATTATTGAATCAGCAAAAAACAAAAATGGAAAAGAATGAAGAAAAAAATGCAGAGCTTAAGGGACTTACAGGCACTGTAAAGTAAATCAATTATGTATGTTGGGATTTTCAGAATAAGTTAGAGGAGAATGAACAGATTATTTGAAGAAAGAATTGGCAAAAACATCCCAAATTTGAGTAAGGAAATAGACTTTCAAATTTAAATTTAGGTTGAACCTACAGAGAGTCACCCACACAGAGAAGAATTAAATAAAATTGAATTGTCAGAAGGTCAAAGACAGAATCTTTAAAGTAGCAAGACAAAGGGACTAGCGTATCAGAAAGCACTCATAAAATTATCAGCATTTTTTTTCCAGCCCTGTAGCTAAATACTATAGTTCTCCTTCATTTTTGAAGGACAGGTAAACAAAAGCTGAGAGAGTTCATCACTACTAGACTTTCCTTATAAGAATTACTGAAAGGAGTCCATCAGATTGAAATGAAAGAATGCTAGAGAACAGAAAGAAAGCATACAAAAATACAAAGCTCTTTTGTAAATCAAATATATAGAAATGCATTATTCTGTTATATTGTAATGATAGTGTGCCTACATTGCTTTAATACAGTTACAGAATTAAAAAATAAAAGCATAACATACAACTACAACTCTCAAACTATATCAATAGATATAAAATCTGAAAAGATCTAATGTGAGATCAATGAATAGACATGTAAAGTTAGTGAAAGTTTTGTATATTATTGAAATTGTTATCAATTTAGAATAGATTGTTAAAATTGTAAGATATTGCAACAAGGAAGCCACCAGGAAGTGGAAAACTGAAAAATTCACAAATATGTGGAAATAAGACTGCACACTGTTAAAAAAGCAATGGGTCAAAAAGCAGAACAGAGATAAATAATTTGATACAACAGAGAATTTAAATATGACTTTTTATTAAGATACAGGAAAAACAAGTTCAGTTTTTCCTCCTATACTTTTATAACACAGAATGGTAATGAACCAAGCAGTCATTTCTTCAGAGATCACCAGCTGAGTATGCACYAATTTATTTAAATTCTGACACTATCTGCCTGGAAATAGCATCAGATCCCACAGGTTGAGGGCTCAATAAAACAACACCCTATCCTCCTTGAAATGCCAGTCTCTCAAGTCTGGGTTTTGGAACTTCTGGCTAACTGGTATAAATTGGGGTTTCTGTGATCACCTTTCTGGGTCAGTTAGTTTGCTAGAGAAACTTGTACAATTCAGGGAAATACTTGTTTTCACCCACTTATTATAAAGGATATTACAATGATAACATGAAAATCTAGATGGAAGAGATACATAGAGTAAGGTTTGGGAGAAAAGATGCAGAGCTTCCATGCTTTATCTGGGCATGCCACCCTCCAGGAACCTATACATGTTCAGGTATTTGGAGTTCAGTCCTTTTGGGTTTTTCTGAAACATGTTTGGTTAAATTATTAACCATTAATTTATCAGCTTGGTCTTTAGACCCTTTTTCCTCCCTAGAACTAGAGGAAAACTAGTGAGACTGAGCGTTCATCCCGAGGCTGTATAGGAGACAAGACACTATTATCACTCCTGAGATTCCAAGGAATATTAGTTGCATGTCAGGAAACTGGAATAAAGACCAAATACATATTTCACAATATCAGAGTTTACAAAACTTATGGGATTCTGCAAAAGAAGTACCAAAATGAGGAAAGACTTGTACACTGCAAACCACAAACAGTGTTGAAAGAAATCAAAGATGACACAAATAAATGAAAACTCATCCCTTGTTCATGTTTTGGAAGATATAATATTGTGAAGATGTCAATACTACCCAAAGCAATCTATAGATTCTGAGTAATTTCTATCAAAATTCCAATATTTTTGGCTGAAATAAGGAAAACAATCCTAAAGTCTATATGGTATCTCAGAGGAACCTGAATAGCCAAAACAATCATGAGGACAAAATTTCAGGAAACCTCATCCTTCTTTATTTCAAAACTTATGCTACAGTAATTAAATAGTGTGTTATTGGCATAAAAACAGACACGTAGTCCCATTGGAACAGGATGCAGAACCCAGAAATAAACTCTCACGTATATGATAAAGTAATCTTCCATGTGGTGTTAAAGACTACCCAGTGGGAAAGAATAATCTCTTCAAAAAATGGTGCTGGGAAAAATGGGGTCCTTTCGTCAACAGTTTCATTTAGTACTTGTATAAATGTTTAATTGGAAAAAATCTTTGTAATTATCATCTTGTATCCATCGTTTCTAATGAGAAGTTAACTTCTGTATCATTGATCCCTGTATGTAATGTATATTTTTTCATAGTTCTGTAATTTTAGTCTCCATTTCTTCTTTTTTTTTTTAGAATAGTCAGTATCCTAAGTGTGCTATCTTTTCCCACTTTCCCTGTTTTGCTTAGTTTAAATTTTATCTACACTTACAGTGATTTGTTATTAGGTGATGTTACAGCCCTGGTTAAATTTAACATGTGGTTGTGGGTGGGGAGATCTACACTGACCTCATTTTAAATTCATTAGCACTAATATGAATTGTTCCCTTATTCTTGCCTTGCAATCATAATTTCCTAACTGTTTTCTCTCACTCTCCTGAATAGCTCTTTGTACATCCTCCACTTTCATGTACCCACCTTTCACATCCTCACTCTTTCACTCATGCTATTATTACTTAATGGAAAAATGGAAGTAATCAAAAGAGAACTTTCATAATGTCCTATTCTCCAAAGTGCTCATTCCTTACTTCTGTGTACATGTACTCTTCATTTTCTCCTATGGTTGTTGGTGATATATCCAAGCATCCTAGATAAGACAACTCTTTTTGTTTTTGGTACTGGGGAGTACTTTCACCACCATAGGTATTTTACCACTGAGCTACATCCCCATCCCTTTTTAATGTTTTATTTTGAGACAGGGTCTCCTTAAGTTGCTTAGGGTCTTGCTGAGTTGCTGAAGCTTGCCTTGAACTTGTAATACTCCTGTCTCAGCCTCTGGAGTCACTGGGATTACAGGCATGTGCCACTGTGTCTGGCATCTCCATTCTTGTGCACTGTACCTGTCATCTTCTGGATAGTTCCAATTTTAATGCTTTGTCAATTTCCCACTCTTCTGCTTCATCAAATTTTCACACTCTGTTGGCTGTCCATATTTTCTTCTCTCTCTCTCTCTCTCTTCTTTTCTCTTTTTTTTTCCCCCACGGTATTGAGGACTAAGCTCAGGGACACTTAAACACTGAGCAACATCCCCAGTCCTTTTTATGTTTTATTTCGGAACAGGGTTTCCATAAGTTGCTTAAGGTCTAGCTTTGAACTCCTGGTCCTCCTGCCTCAGCCCCCTGAGTTGCTGGGATTACAACATGGGCCACTGTGTCCTGCTCTTCTTCTTTCTTGAACCCTGCCAATAAAGTTCTCTAGGTCAAGGAGGATGATATCCATTGTTAAACTTAATGGTCAATTCTTAGATTCCCCCTTTTATTGACTTTATTCTCTTGACATTTGACATTCTCATTTTCCTTATTATACCCTTATATCCCTAGTTTTAAACTGTATTTCAACAAAATCGACAAAGGTGCATTAAAATAATCTAGAATTCATTTTGGGGGCTTATATATCTTATTATATTAACTAATAATTATATCATTATTACATAATTATAAACTATAAGTTTTTATAGGTGTTTCACATCTAGGATGATGGGACAAAATAAGTTTAGAACATTTCTCCCTCCCACCCCCAAAAAATAATGAGGATTGAACCCAGGAGTACTTTCACCTCCAAGCCCTTTTTTGTTTTTTATCTTGAGATAGGTTCTCACTGAGTTGCCCAGGCTGGCTATTCAGGTTCCTCTGAGATACCATATAGACTTTAGGATTGTTTTCCTTATTTCAGCCAACTCCTCCTGCCTCGGTGGGACTACAGGCGTACACCACTATGCCTAGCTAAAACACTGCTTTACTTGGCTTGTTAAGACAAAATATATTCTTGGTTTTTGGCCTTCCTCAGTCTTTTTTTGCTGTGTAAGTGTGCTAAGTAGGTTTCTGTTCTGGAACTCCTCTTTTTTCAATCCTCATGTATTTTCTTGATGATTCCTGTCCAGTTGTATGGTTTTAAATATCATATATAGGTCAATGACTTGGAAACACATGTTTCCAATTCTCCTTGAACACTTAACCTTTCATATTCAAAAGCATCCTTAATATCTACATTTTGTTGTTTGATGGCAAAGACTGAGCTCCTGATATTCTGCCTTCCTTCCAAAACCTTCCGTTTTTTTGTTTTCTTCATCTTGTTTAATGTTGTTAAACAATTATTCAGACCATAAATCTTGATATAATTCTTAGTTCTCTTATTTCACACTTAAATCATATATTTTTGTCAGCCAGTCTTTCTATACTGTCTGAGTAAAGCATTTCCCAACACAAAACATGTAACAAAGAACATTTAAAATATACTTTTCTCATACCCTCACTTTTGCTAGGCACTATTATCATGTTTTATCTGTATTATTAACTGATTTTTCTTCTGTTCTTGATTCTTCCTACATTTTTTTATGTAATGATTGTTATATTTCATGCATAGAATATTACTCCTCTGTTTAAAACTTCTAGTAACATTTGATTTCCTTCAGATTAAAAGCCAAAACCTTTATTAAACCTCAAGATTTGTCCCCCATTACTACTGTATCCCCTTCTACTCTTCAGCCCTTCTTTGGTTTAGCTCCTGTGACCATGGCTTCTTTGCTATCATTAAAAACTCTGAATCTTCTTTTGTACTTGCTAGCATGTTGTATATTTTACTTATTCTGTTTTGTTTACAGTCTGACCCATTAGAACATAAGTGCCATGAATATAAGGTTTTTTGTTTGTTGTTTCCTTTTGTTATAAGCACTGGGTATACAGCATCTGTTGCCTGGTATATAGTAGGCACTCAAATTCAATTTATTACTTAATAAATGAAGCCCCTTCCCAACTGTTTTTAAAAAACTTTATTTTCAGATCCGTGATTCTAATTGCAACTATGAGGCCTTTATGAACATTATTAAATTGAGTGACAATATTGGAGAATTGGAAGCAGTTAGAGATAAGGCAGCAGAAGAATTACAGTATCTTAGATCTTTAGATACAGCTGGTGATGGTAAGTCATTTAAGTAAAAGAATGCTTTCTTTAAGTATTGTTATATCTTTAAATAAAACTTTACTTATCTAACTGCCACTTAATGCTACTAGCTATTTTCACCTTAACTAAATAAATTTTATTATGTTAACATTTGCTTAGAGCAGAAGCATAATTTTTTGAATATGTGACTTGTGATTATTTCAGTTATGCCTAAAGTATGGATAATAGGCATGGTTGAATTTTAATGAAGTAATTTCACTGTACATAATTTCAGATTGTTTATTTTACTAGATAAATTTGTTGTATTAATTGGTTATCTTGTTAAATTAGTACATATTTAAAATATTTTGTAAACACCATTTGCCTAGCTCATAATAAATTCGTTTCCTTTTAGATATCAATACCATCAAAAATCAAATAAATAGCTTATTATTTGTAAAGAAAGTATGTGACTCAAGAATACAGCGGTTGCAGTCAGGCAAAGTAAGTATAAAGTACTTTAAAATATTTTTTAATAGCTTTTTAGTTGTCAATGGGCCTTTATTTTATTTCTTTATATATAGTGCTGAGAATTGAACCCAGGGCCTCACAAATGCTAGGCAAGCACTCTGCCACTGAGCAACAACCCCAGCCCTAATAAGTACTTTTGAATTAATGTTTAGTTATAAATGTTTTCTAGTGATTAAAATGCTAATAAGTGACAAAAGGTCAGATTTTATTTATTTTTTTTTAGTTATACATGACAGTAGAATGTATTTTGGCAAATTATACATACAAAGAGTATAACTTATTCTAATTAGGATCCTATTCTTGTGGTAGTATATGATGCAGAGTTGCCCTGGTTGTGTATTCAAATATAAGGCTAGGAAAATTATGTTCAATTAATTTTTCCTGTCTTTTCTATTCCCCTCTCTGCTCCTTTCCCTTTGTCTAATCCAGTGGACTTCTCTTCTTCCTCTTTCTACCCTCCCTTGTTGTGGGTTAGCATCCATATTTAAGAGAGACCACTCAGCCTTAGGTTTTTGGAGGATTGGCTTATTTCATTTAGCATATTATTTTTTTTATTAGTTCGAAACATTACAAAGTTCTTGACATATTTCATACATTTGATTCAAGTGGATTGTGAACTCCCATTTTTACCCTATATACATAATGCAGATTCACATCGGTTACACATCCACTTTTTTACCTACTGCCATACTAGTGTATGTTGTGTTCTGCTGCCTTTCCTAACCTCTACTATCCCCCCTCCCTTCCCCTTCCCTCCCCTCCCATCCTCTCCCTTCCCGTCTTCTCTCCCTACCTCATCT